GTCTTCTTCGTCAAGAAGAAGGACGGCGGACTCCGCTTCGTCCAGGACTACCGTGCTCTCAACGCGATGACTGTCAAAAACCGGTACCCCTTCCGCTGATCAACGACCTCATCAACCGGCTCAAAGGCGCTCGTTACTTCACCAAACTCGACGTCCGTTGGGGCTTCAACAACGTCCGGATCAAGGAAGGTGACGAGTGGAAAGCGGCCTTCCGGACTAACCGAGGCCTGTTCGAGCCCTTAGTGATGTATTTCGGCCTGACAAACTCTCCCGCGACGTTCCAAACGATGATGAATGACATTTTCCAGGATCTCATCCTCTCCGGAGACGTCATGATCTACCTTGACGACATCCTGATCGCCCATTCCGACCTCCGGAAACACCGACAGATTGTCCAGGAGGTCTTACGGCGACTCCGGGAGCACAAGTTGTACCTTCGAGCGGAGAAGTGCGACTTTGAAAAATCGTCAATCGAGTACCTCGGAGTCATCATCTCCCACAACCACGTCGAAATGGACCCCGTCAAGGTCGCAGGCGTCTCCGCTTGGCCGACTCCGGAAAACAAGAAGGACATTCAGCAGTTCCTTGGGTTCGCTAACTTCTACCGCAGGTTCATTCGGGACTTCTCGACCCTTGCGCGCCCTCTTTTCATGCTCACCAAGAAGGACCAGCAATGGACTTGGGGCGACGCGGAGGCCTCCGCGTTCCAAGCGATCAAGGACGCGGTCACCTCGGACCGGTCCTGGCGATTCCGGACGACGCACGGCCTTTCCGACTCGAGGCGGACAGCTCTGATTATGCGACGGGGGCGGTTCTTTCACAATCCGCCCCGGACGGGAAGTGGCACCCTGTAGCATTCTATTCCAAAAGCTTAAATGATGTCCAGCGCAACTACGAAAATCCACGACAAGGAGATGCTCGCGATCATCCGCGCACTCGAGGAGTATAGACACTTCCTCGAGGGCGCCGCACCCTGTCGAGATTTGGACTGACCATAAGAATTTGGAGTACTTCAGAAAGACGCAGCACCTCAACCGGAGACAGGCCCGGTGGTCTCTGTACCTCTCCCGGTTCGACTTCACGCTGCACCACAAGCCTGGCCGCGACATGGGTCGGCCTGACGCCCTCTCCCGGAGACCCGACCACAGAGTCGATTCCGACAACTCCGATGTTGTCCTTCTGCGGCCTGAACTCTTCCACGTCCGCGCACTCGAGGGCGTTTCTGTTTCCGGTCCCGGCTCTGAACTCCTCCGTGACATCCGTGATGCCCTCTCCGGTGAGCCTGACCTAGAGGAGCCCGTCGCACTAGCGGCCCGGCAACTTCTTAAGGTTCAAGGTCAAGCTCGAGGCCCCCGCTCCTCACGTTCTGACGAATGGGCCGTCTCCGGCGGTCTTCTCCATTTCCGAGGAAAGATCGTCGTACCAAAGGACAAGGACCTCCGGAGACGCATCATCGAGCTCTGCCATGACACCCGAGTCGCCGGACACGCAGGTCGTTTCAAGACCCTGGAGTTGGTCTCCCGGAACTACTGGTGGCCTCAGATGTCTCGCCATATCGGCCGGTATGTTGCGACCTGTGACTTGTGCTGTCGCACCAAGGCACTCCGGAGACTGCCCCACAGAGAACTGCACCCCACGGAAACGCCCCGGACGCTGGCATACCGTCTCCGTGGACTTCATCGTAGAGCTTCCCGAAGCCCATGGGTACGACGCGATCATGGTCGTCGTTGACACCCCTCGGAAAGCGCCCCCACTTCTCAGAGTGTCATACGACGGTCGATGCAGTAGGGGCAGCCCGCCTCTACTACCGGAATGTCTGGCGGCACCATGGGACTCCGGAGAAGTACGTCTCCGACCGGCGGCTCGCAGTTCATCGCGGACTTCACCCGAGAACTTTGGCGTCTAATCGGCATCAAGCCCGCCACGTCCACCGCGTACCACCCGCAGACAGACGGTCAGACAGAGCGCGTCAACCAGGAGCTGGAGCAGTACTTGCGGATCTTCACCAACTACCAGCAGGACGACTGGGATGAGCTGATTCCGGCCGCGGAGTTCGCCTACAACAACCACGTTCACTCCTCCACGCAGCAGGTCCCCTTCATGACGGACACGGGACGGCTCCCGCGCATGGGCTTCGAACCCGGAGTCCGTTCCGCCATGGAGTCAGTGAACGAGTTCCGCGACCGGATCGCTACTGGTGTTGCTGAAGCCAAGGCCGCGCTCACTAAGGCCAAAGAAGAGTACAAGCGCTACTACGACCGGAGACGGACTCCGTCTCCGGAGTTTAAGGTTGGCGACCGTGTTTGGCTGGATGCCTCTGACATCAGGACGACTCGCCCCTCGGAAAAGTTCTCCCATCGCCGCCTTGGACCGTTCAAGATAGTCGCGGAGATCAGCAAAGGTGCCTACAAGCTCGACCTCCCTCCGCGCTACTCGAAGCTCCACCCGGTCTTCCCCGTCGTCAAGCTCGAGCTCGCCCAGGATGACCCCTTCGACGGACGCCCCGGCTACGACCAGCCCCTCCGGACCTCGAGGACGGAGTCCCGGAGTGGGAAGTAGAGGAAATCCTGGACGCAAGGGTGAGGTATAAACGGCTGAACTACTTCGTCAGATGGAAAGGCTACGACGCATCGCACGACCAATGGGTCCGCTTCGACCGCGTCTTCGCCCGGAGAAAATTGCGGAGTTCTATGGTAAGTACCCTGGCAAGCCACGACACATCGCCTCCGCGACCTTCGACTCGATTCCGTTCCGGTCTATGCGTCGGGACGCCGCATTCAAAGGGGGGTGATGTCAGGGGAACCTCCCTTTCGGCCCGGAGACGCGCCCGATTCCGGTCCGACTCCGGTTCCGACTCCGGTCCGGCCCTCCATCTCGCCCGCACAATCACCGATCCGTCAACGCCCTCCCGACGGTCGCCCTGGGACCTCGCCTGCGACGCCGCCCAAGCCTTCTGTGCCCGACAGCGGCAGCTACGGACAAGCAGTATATAGTCAGCTACCTAGCAGGCGGACCCTTAGAGTTTCTTCTCTTTGGATCCTCCCCTGCTAGGTCAGCTTCATTTGTATTCGCTTACCAATGTTCACGCTTTGGATCCTCCCCTGCTAGGACCTTGATCTCAGGCCTCCGGGGTTGCCCTTACAGAGTGCAGAGAGAGAGTAGAAAATAGAATAAAAAGTCACTGGCTGCTGCAAAGGCAGGTGGATTCAGAATTGCAGACCAAATCCCACCTTTGCTTAAAAACACTTTAAAACACTTGAAGGCAAACAAGAGGTATTCAAACAGCTAGTTCAATGTCAGACAGGACATAGGTACTTAGGCAAGTTTTATAATTGCTTCATTCCAGATGAGCATTTGTTGCCCTTGAGCAGAAAACTACTGTACTATTTTGATTAATTGTCTGCGTTACGCGTGACACGCGGTCCCGGCGCGGATACCTGCAGCCGCCATTACACGTTCAAATCCGATTTGCCATCAAATCCAGGCCTAAAAAGGCAATTTTTCGTTCCGGCTGATGCTGGACTTGCCTTTTATGGTAATCCAGACACCTTGTCCAGTGGACAATTTGCATTACGTGTTACATGCTGTGGACAATTAATCAAAATAGTACAGTAATACAAACATAATACATATCCTACATGAATGCCCCAGATACAACAAGTACCAACACATACTCCAAAAACAATCATATATGACATTGCACTCCCTCAGATTCTGGGAACACAGGGTTTCTAGAGGAATCAGGAGCATATACAAAGATGAGACACAAACAGAGAGCCTGAGAGGTCACCCTCCCCAACTGGGAAGAAGAGCTGGAGCCAGACCTTCCAGACAACAAGGAAGTCATGGGCAATGATGATCATAGATAGATTGGATCACAGCAGAGAGGAGAAACACAGCAAGAAACCCCTGCAACTTAGAAAGCTGGCACTCCTAGCAATGGCTAGATTGCAGAACCAATCCAAAGACACCACCTCTAATTACCCCCCAAAGCACAAAGGCTTTGCCAGGCAGATTGACATATATAGCTGCTCTCACAAGCACTATGCCTTTATAGCTGTAGTGTATTTGCCTGGGGAATAAAAATGTGATTAAAAAAACAGATCAAGTTATTTAAAAATACATAATCATACCTTAAAGCAAGGTGTTTAAGATGGCCACTTGGCCAGCAGCTAGTATAATATTTCACCTCATTGTTATTATATTATATTATGGATATATTATGCTGCACAGGTCCATATTATGATATTATTATATTATCATTATGCATTTAGCATAATAATATCATAATAGGCCAGCACTAGATCATGTAAGGAAACCATGATTGGGATCAAAATCTTAAATCAAGTTAGCGGGACGATCAAGCTTATTAGTTGACAGAACCCTACTCTGTTCCAGAGTCGGGGATAGGAGACATGTTTCTGCTCCAGTCATTATGTATCCTGCTCAATACCTCCCTATAGGTTTTCATATGCCATCATCATGATAGACTGAGCATAGTATAACCTTATAGATGTCATATTCTAGGCCATCTATGCCCTATGACTATTCTGGTCTACCAACCCTGTCTGACTCCTACAGGACTTGATAAGTGTTCGATAAAGTTGTTTTATTTTGCTCAGCTTTGGCTCAGCTTGACTTGACGGTTTGGACCCTCATTGTAGATCTGAGACTGAGTCCCAGGGTGACTGGCTTCTGAGAAAGGCTTCGAGATGAACCTTGGATTTATCTGGACTGCATTTTTCTGCTAGCCCCATATATTAGATCTAGTGCTCTGCCCGGGTCAGGCAGCCCGAGCCCGGCCCGGATCAGATCTTCTAAAAAGCTACCAGAAAGAGACCACTTTACTCCTGGTTCTGTATCTCATTTTATTGCCCCATATTCTGTCGCAAGCAAATTCATTCTTGCTCTATAACTTTTCCGATAGTTACTTGCCAAGACAAATGTAGTCTCGATTGTGAGATCTATAAGTATCTGTATAAGAGTAAAGAGTCAAGTATCTAATCCCGTCCGTAATACATGACCGCAAAGACAATGCCCCCCGCACTCAATAGGAATGCGAGCATGATCATCGCTGAGTACCACAGCACCTCGTTCTCCGACTCCTTACTCGGTGCAAGGCCCTTGGCGCGCTCGCCCATCTTCTCTCGTATCTTCTCAAACTGCCTCCTGCGTGTCATCTCCTGGTCGGCCTTCTCGGAGGCGACGAAGACCGCGCCGCGGGGGTCGCTCTGCTTCACTTGCATTCCACCGTTGGGCCCGCCAATGAGCACAAACGATGGGTATGCATGTTCGTGCCATTGCTCCAGCTTGCCGCAGGCCACGCTAAGCCGCATATAGCTCGGGTCGTGTGGCAGGGCGCGGGCGTGGATTTTGCGGGCGTAGTCGCGGAATATAAGGGAGACATCGCGGGGGTTGGTAGAGCGCATTATCAGCTGGTATACAGTAAGAAAAGACACGAAGGCACAAGAAAAAACAACGTACGTCAGCAGCCGCAGCCTTGCGTATCTTGACGTTCCTGACAAAAACACCGCGGTTCATGAAACAAAGCTCGAGGGTTGCCATGGCCATCGTCGCAGGTATGGCACAAAAGTTGAAGACGCTCTGGTTCTTCAGCAACCGTAAATACTCCAAGGCGTCCGTCGCATGCCTAAGGGCATCGACAACCATCGCGCTCTGAACCCACATTGCTTGCTCTGGCACATCCTCTTCTCGATTCGACGCAGGACACATGTCGGATGGAGTAGTGAAGCCATACGGGCCCCAAAACGCGCGGGGATAGAAATATCTTCGCTCGTCAGCGTCCTCCCTCAAGTCTCGAGTGATATTCGTCTTCTGAAGGAAAAGGCCTAGCGAGTTGCTGAGCACCAATTCGCGCGCAATGCTAGGGGCTTCTTTGCCCGACGCGGCAAACAGCAGAGACAACCCTTCTCCAACAAGCCCGGCGACATAATGGCAGTATAGGTCGTATTCTTCTTGCGTGTCCACTGTCGCGCCTAGTGGCCGCAGCGCAAAGTCTGCCATACCAGCGCCCATCTTGTCGGCAATGGTCAGGATGGCAGCACGGGCATCGGGAGGGAGGAGGAGGAGTTCGGTTACGACATCAGCATACTCGACAAGGAGTAGCCGGTCTTTCTCGTTGGGCCCAGAGTCGATGAAGTTCCAGCCAGGCGTGGCGCTATGGACATGGAATGAGCGCAGTAAAGTCTGTTTGCGCTGGGGGTCAAGCGTCATGTCATCTTCAATGGTGTCCAGGCCACGCAGTACAAGGTAGAACAGACATATCTGGTCTCGAAGTCAGCTCTCGTGGTCAGCAATGAGTTGGCGGACACACCGTTCGGGCCAAATCACCCTCCAGCTCTTTGATAACTGCGGCGAAGCTCCTGCTCGTAAGGTCGAGGTGTTTCCAACATGTGCGCATGCTCTCCCGCTCCCACCCACTCGTTGGGTCCCCAGGGAGGTCGCGCGACGGCTCGTAGTATATCTTGTACTGCACGAGAGTGCGGAACTCATTCGGGTGCGTGAGCAGAAGTAAGAGGTATGTTGCGAGCCCCATTGCGCGTGGAGAAGATGAAGGAGAGAGGGAAGGTGGGAATGTGCGAAGCGAGTGGCGCGACATCGTATCGTATGAGCTTTTTTTCGAGGTGGGACGATTTCCCAAGGGGGTAAAATGACGTGTTGATCCGCTGCTGATTCCATCACTGGTGTCACACTCACACTCAACTTCAAAATGGCCGTTCGAAGAAATACTTGTAAGCTGATATAAAGTTTCTGTTCCGAATGACAAACGTTCATGAAGCAACATATTTGTAGGCCCAAACCACATATTGCTTGGAAGTCCTCTCTTAGACTCTAGTGAGATTGAATTTTGAAAAGGTGCCGCAGTAGCCGCACATGCGGCGGGCAGAGAGAGATTTGAGGTTAGAACAATACTTAATTTCCAAGCTCAGCCGCCAGATCCGTGCCAGTCCCATAAATTATAAGAGAGCTGAGAGCCAACAGATACGCCAAAAGCTGGTGAGCGCATTCGCCAAGCTGTTTCATCCTGAGTCAGCCCGGCCGGACTCACCGAGCACAAAATTGAAACTCAAGCTTCTTACTGGCACCGAATCAACAAGAAACGAGTAGTGGTCCTTGTGACTTAGCTCTTGCTTCCCCACTTTGTAGCCCGGGCCAAACAAATTTTGATAAAATTGTCCTGATACAAGCGTATCTGCAATGACCGTGACAGCAACATGTCTATGTAGTGGACTAGACCCCCACGGTATTAATTTTACTCTCCTCTCCTCAATGTATTGCCGTCGTAACGGCGGTATGCGTGGCCGTGGTTGTTCCAGTGAAGAATATCGTCGAGCAAGGCAGACACCATACTACAGTCGCCGGATTAGAGCGGCTTCCGAGCCTCTCAGTTTCGTGGGCGGAAAACTTACATGTGGTGGTGAGCGTTCCGCTATTTTCGAAGGGGACAGTCTGGCACTGACATGTCGTCGTAAACGGGAGCGTGATGGTCGCGGCAGTCGCAGTGGGGGCGGGAGTAATGAGCGGGTCGGCGGGCTCAGGCTGCAGAGATGTCCCCAATCGTTTTAGAACAAGACCACTGGGAGCAAAGAAGTGGGACTGACAAGTGCGTTGGCCATGGTGCTGCCGCCCAGGAGAATGGCGAGGATGAGCTGTGAAGCGCTAGTAAAGCGAAGAGCCATTGTTGTTGAACGGATGACGGTGCTTCAAGTTGTCCTGGGCCTTCCAGGTTATAAACGGCAGTGCGGCATAGATGCCGTGCGGAAGTCGATGGTCTCGTGCAGTGGGATTGAATGAACTGGCAAAACCACGGAGGCGGGAGACGAGGCAGCGAAGACGAAGCTCTGCGGGTCCGACGCAAAACCGGAGACGGTTTGTAAGTGGCAGAGGATTACGGATACGATTGGCGGGGCTCGTCGGGCATCTGTTTGTCAGATGTCTGCAGCTGAATTCTGGAAGACTGGAGCGCCTAAGCCTTAAGGCCTTTTCAGTTGTGATCATCGGGATGTTTGACGTGGCTCGCACCATACGGTAGTACCAGGAGAAGGACCACAAGTATTTAACATTCTGCAGTCGCCGGCTCAAGAGTTAGTATAGAAGAATGGTAGATGCTGAGCATTGCTGACACTTACAACAGATATATCCATCGTGGCGGCTGGCGCAAGACATTACGGAGCCCAGAGATCTTTTCCGACTCTTTCTGCAGTCTGCAGTGGAGAGAGACAAAAACTGTGGACAGTGTGACCGAAGATCGTCACAGCCGCTGAGCTTGTTCTTCCGGTGCCGCCACCAGCTTTTCCTCCCATACAGTGCCGGTGTCCGTAGACTCAAGAGTGCCTTCGTTGGAATCTGCCAGCGAACACAACGGTGGCATGATCCCCCAAGAAAAGATTCAGTGAGTATGCCTTCATGTACATGTTCTCGTTCAATACAGCTTTCAAGTTTTCATTGACGCATGCCAGTGAACTAGGCGTCGATATATATCCGCGATGCAGAGCAAAGACAGCAAGACAATGCCCCGCCAATCTAATTGGGTAGTGCGCCGCTGAGGAGCTCCGTTTGAAGCGGCCTGTTGTCAAGCTCACAAGACAACTTCAAATTTGGAAACGGAGGCTAACGGAGGGTATACTCACGTTTGGATGGGGGAACGAATGTTTTCACGAGGCTCGGTGTGTTGTCGCTATTCATTCGGTTGTCTCACTAACCATAATCGTGCAGCTATGACTTTGAATATACTAGTATTGGTTCTGACGCACTGGCACTTGGTGAGCACCCAGCACCGGTAACTCTATGGGTTGGGTTGAGCTTGTCGTCCTTAATGGGGAGTCCGCATGGGTGTTGGTTGTGTGCTTTCGCTTCCTTGCATATCCACTTAGCCCCATCTCGGAGAGACGCGCACCCCTTCGAGAGCACGGATTTGCTTGGCCACCTTGTATAATGTTGTAAGCATAGTTGGGTTATCTCATCTACTTGTAATGCAGCTCAGGCGGTTACAGAACTTGACCCCTCTCCTCTACACCTACTAACGTTGTTGATAGCCTGTTATCAATTATACCTGAATCTCGATTCTCGACTATTTATCACCCAGCAAGCCATTCATTACCACTACGACGCTTTCCGAGGTTCGAAGACATTGTCTATATCGTTTCTAAAACACGTTCATCCCCATAAAAGAATGTTTGCGACGGCCTGCTTCAGCTAAGGGATGGATGTCTGAAAAAGGCAAGTGACCTACTTATTTCGGACTCTCGGATCCTATGAGCTCGGAGTTCATCACACGGGAAATTTGGGTACATGGCTGTCTCCAATGGGCTCCCTTCTTTTATCCAGTCGAATCTCCCCGCTGATGTCCTTCCAGGGGGCATAACTGTGGACCAGAACTCAACAATCTATCCTGAGAACATGATGTGAACTGGATTGTATTCTAAAAGCTTAAACTTGACGAAGCCACCAGATGCTTGGGAGCTGCTTCGCGCGCAAATGAAGACCCCCAGTTGTTGTTTGCGCTTCCACCAAATATACTCTCGCCAAATCAAGCCGACGCGGCTGCGTGCTTCGCGGAGATGATTACTAGTGGCAGTTGTGGATGGTGTGGGTTGCATCTCCTTCCTCATGATGCGGTGATTACCGTGGATTCTAGGTCTAATTCAAGCGAATTCTGTGTGTTTTGGATGGAATCCGTCCATATACACAGGTTATATTCTCGTGGCCCTGGCACATGGAGTATTCTTACTTTCCATAGGACATGTCGCCCTAGCGATGCAACATGGGTGTGTGCATGTGCATGTGGGCTTATTTTGCCCTGTTTGCAGGTCCAACCCGGTAACCCTCGCAATTCAAAGATCTGACGCGAATCTCAATACGGCCTTTCCGAGTCTTCTTCTGGACCTTCTCGAGCTTCAAGTTGGCATGTGCGCATCGACCCGCTCTGCGATGACACGCAGACCTAGGCCTCCGACCTGTGTGCGGATTTAATTTTTGACTTGTCCGCATCGCCGTCAGTGTTTTGTCTTGATATCTGGCAGACGGTTGATCCCTAAGTCAATCTCATCTTTTGCTCAATGCTACCTATCGATCGACGTCCGTTTGAATAGCAAATCAATTATACCGTGGCAAGCCGGCGCTGTCTTGCATTCTAACCCCCAACTTCTAGTTGTCGTCCGAGTCGCGGGTCCGGATTCCGGTGCGGACTCGGGATCATAATCGAAACTCCGGCTTTGTGGCCTCAAGACGACGGGTACGTGTCGAGCACGGGACGTGATTATAGCCTTAGCCTCAAATGGAGGTGAATGTCAGTTGTTGTTCTCTTGCATTCTTTGTTCTGAACTGGGGTAAGTTTCCCATTGCTTCCGCCTGATCAGACTTTCTGGTCTCCCATGCTTAACGGCTAACTGCTCCTGAGTCTTGCGGACCAGAACGTTCTTGTCGACCTCAAGCCATTGTCAAAGTCTCCCTCTCTCTAATCTGTCCATCTCTTGACCTGGCATCTTGGCTTGTTCCCTTATATGCGATGTCTGTTCGGCATGGTAAAATATATGGTTAACGGATCAGAGGTGCATCATATCCGAATGAACCTTCAATTATTTCTGTCAAACTTCGGAACAACAGCACATCCTCCGACGCATCAACGTCTTTTCTTGCGTTCTTCTTTCCCCTGGGTCGATTCCGCGCTGGACATAATTCGAGTTCAAGTTTTGTGATGACATCGAGGTGTGCTTGTTCTTCCTTCCCATTCTTCCTCACATGATTCCTTCTTTGATGTGTTTCTGCTTAGTTGTGCGCTCGCCGCTTGTCATGGCTATCCGCAGTGAACGGGTTTGAAATTCCAGTCAGAGTTCAAGCTATTGAAGGTGCCAGTAAGTATTCTGTACTAGGACCAGGTAAAAACGAACGAGAAACTTTCCGGCGCTTTAGCAGCCCGGTCACTCTGGGCTCGACGTGCTTCGGGTTCATGGGAATGCTGAGCTGGCTTGGGTACACAAATGAGAACGATTAGCTGATGAATAGAGAAAGCAAACTGAAGAAAAGGACCCAGAGCAAAAGTTTCTACAATATTGAGACATACACTTCACTTACACAGCTTGGCCGTGACCTGAGGTTTCAGCCAGATAGCTTCAAGTGGCTGTCAGTACGAGCACAGCGAAGCGAGGCGTCGGACTTTGGTCGGGTTGATGGCTGTTTTGGGCAGGGAACCAGGATAGAGGTAACGATTCTAATTGGCCGCACATCTCGATCGAATCTGGATGGATTGGTGATTGACGCTTATGTGAATGCATTAGCTAAGCCCCTTTTGGGCAGCCTGCTACCTGAATCTCTCTCCGTCTCTCTTTCTCCTCGACCACCACCAGCACTCCGGATCCGACCCACGGCTACGGCCTCGACCGATCCTCCCCCACCACGTTCATTATAAAAGCCGACCACCGACTTTCGAGCGATGCACTCTAATCCGCCCCCGCCTCTCGAGCTCGTCGACAGCGCCATTCACCATAACATGCTTGCTGTCCATTCTCAATACGGCCATGGCCATCAGCTTTATGCGCCTCTCCCTTCGCACCCATTGGACTACGTGTCCTCGTCCTCTTCTTGCGAGCCAACGCCTCCGCCATCGATGGGTCCCAAGCGGTATCGAAGCACACCTCCAAAGTTCCAATGTGTCGGTTATGGGGACTGCAGGATGATTTTCAGTCGAAGCGAGCATCTGGCAAGGCACATAAGGTGTGCACTCCTTTTATTTTTCTCTCTCTTTCTTTCTTTCCCGCTCCTTCCTATTCGACTGTGGTGTCTTGGTTAATGTACTTTCATTCCCTCCTGTCTCTTTATCCGCGCCTTTGTCTCTCCACCATCCCCTCTTTTTTGTGTTCTTCTTCGTATCTTCTTGGCAGAGTGCAGTCGGCATCATTCTTCCCGTCTTGACCTGTCGAGATTCTTTTCCATATGGTCCAACATACTTCGCCATTGACTTGTATTGACCGTCTTCCCCAGAAAACATACCGGTGAACGTCCTTTCACCTGTCACTGCGGCAAGCAGTTTTCTCGCCTCGACAATCTTCGCCAGCATGCCCAGGTGTGTCAAACTTGGACATGATCCTAATACCTGTTGACGCTCTATCAGACCGTCCACTCCGCCCCCGAGGACCGACCACTGAATGAGCGCATGATGCGAGCCCTTGCTGGTATTAATGCCAGCATGATGGCCGGTGTTCGACGTAGACGGTATGGCAACGGTGGCCCAGCGACAAGTCCCAGTTCGCCCTTGCCCATGATGTATTCGCCGGGCTACGCGAGCAGCTCCATGTCGTCTTCTCCAGGCCTTTCAAGCTCTGGCTCTTCTTGTGCCTCCCCTGCACTCAGCAATGCCCCTTTCCCATACGAACCCGAGTCAGGTCATGCCGTTTTTGCCGCCTACACTGCGGGGTACCCCTCTGGCTCGCATTCTTTGCCAGCCTCTCCTTCGTACCCGTCTTTCCAGTCACAGTACACGTCTCATTCCCCCTACCCTCCCCATCAACCCCAATCCGCCCCTGCTTTCGAAGTCGAGGCGAGCGATTATCTTGCCGCCGGCGCCATCGCTTCTCAAGTTCACGGTCATGCGATAGTCAAGCAAGAGGAGGTCGACCTTGGGTTAGACCTGGATGAGTTTTACCGTGCCGTCTGCGGCTCTCCATCGGACTTTGTCGCCGGTCCTGGATACGACTGCGATTCGTCATCAAGTCCAAGCCCGCCTCAAAGCCCCGAATACTACTCTAATCACCAAGAGCGGGAGATGACGAATGCGGAGTATTATCGTGCGGTCCAGGCCGAATACTATTCTCAACAACCTCAAGCGGCTTATGCCTTTGCTTCTTGATCTATTTATTATACTGGGGGTACTGCATCTGGGGCAAACTTGTGTGCGTACCTTTTTCACTTGTCCGCCTCCATGCACTAAGCTTTCAATGAAGAATCTTATCTTTCTGTACATCAAAACGACATCTTGGGCCACCGCCAATAGCAAAACGAATCGCCCATCTCACTCTCCCTTGGACCACATCACGCTCTCTTCTACATTATCGCTATTACTCCTTGGTTTACTGCTTGGTACACTATTCCTTCAGCGCTATTATCTCCACGGCATTACGCACATACTTATTCCTTTCGACGCCGGCGCTCGCTTTTTGTTACCTTACTTTCTTCGCGGGCGCAGCTTCTCTATCGGTTGTTTGTTACTTCTTTGGGGTTGTAGAATACTTGGCGGGGATAATTTCTTCAGGTTGGTTGGGTCCCGGTACTCCATTGAGGTTGGAGGACGTGTAATTATCTATGGACTCCCACTTGCGCTGAAGCGCATAACTTTGTACTTACTTACAAGACTCAAAACATGTGATATGGTCTATGCCTCCTTTGCCAGTCGTTCAGATTCGAGCGTTCCACAACGTGTCGAGTAAGCAACCTCGTATAAGCGGAGAAAAGGCTATGGGCATTGACGGTGGCGTCTGCAGTTAGACTACCTTTAGCTGCATCTAGCAAGTGTGCGACGCAACGGGCGCGAAAACGTCGCGCATCGGGATTTCAATACAACGTCGGCATATGGCAATTTGCGCACAGCCTCATAGACAATAAGCAATGGTTTCATCCAGCGGAGACTCAAGCTTTCTAAGTTCAATGAGTTCATACGAGTTTGAGTGTGGATGCAGAGCTACATTTTGACGTCCGATGATAAGACTGAAGAAGCTCGAGAAATGGGTAATTGGGAGAAGGTTGCTCTTAATCCAAATTATGGTTACTAAATGAGAGTGCTTTGCGATGCAAGACTGTCGTGCTCCGAACCGGCGGCGCGGCTACGCAAGGTAGGCACCCGAAGAAGAAGGCCGGAAGGCACGAAGCTTGAAGGTTGGACGAGCGTGACTGTGAGTCTGGGCCTGGAGACGGCGGTCGGAGACAGCTTGGGACCGATGCGGGCGGCAACGCGAAGAAGCAGGTTTACAGGGTCTTGCATAATGGAATGCAGTCCGATTTTTGATTTCTCGCCATTTTTGATTGATTTTTGGCATAAGTGTGCCATCGGCTGGCATTCCCGAGCCTTTCCGAGCCCCCTTATGCCTGATTTCAGCCCAAAACAGGTGGCAGATGTCACACAAATCCAAAATCACGACTGCACTCCATTATGCAAAAGTCTGTAGAATGCAAAACCCGACATAATGCGTCAACCAGAATGGAATCATTTCGGTATAAATCATGCTAATGTGGCGGCTTAATGAAGATGGGTTCATCTTGGTCAACCTGATATCAGTGGACTCAACGACGCAACTGTTGAATGAAGTGGGATGCAGCGAGAGTGGGGGAAAGGAAAAGCATCCATAACGACTAGACAATAATAATAATAATAATACGCACATAGACAAGAAAGCCGCTGTTTTCGTCTCTATGAGATCACTGAGCAGCCATAAAACTCCTTTGATTACCGATAGTTATAGATACTGTGCATGCTTACGATAACCTCAGAGCGAAGTTGAAGTTTGGCAGAGTTCACTTTTTTTCTTGGCTTGCTCGAGTTCGAGCTCCCTGATTCAAGTTCAAGGGCTCGACTTGCGCTGGAAGCTCGAGGTGGATCTAGAAACACTCTGGAGTCGGCGAGTAGGGAAGCAAAGATAGCCGCAGAGCCGATATCCGAGAGCAAAGATTTCCCAGGAGAGACACGAGACCACGCGGAGCGAAACAATCCGGCACCGAGCCGAGGCCTATAAGCAGAACGGTGTCCAAGTGGAGTGAGACTGCCAAGGGCGGACAGGGTCCGGGTGAAAAACTGTTGAGCCAATCTTTGACTTATGACGGCCGGAATGCACAGACACTGTGACACAGAGATGGCATACTTGGATGTGGAAGATATAGATTCGATGAGTCATAGTTGATTGGTGTATTGGAGATTATCCAACAGTCAACTCATATGGTGCAAGTTGTCCTTCTGACTCCTAAACTGGCCATGTTTAACACTAGGATCTGCTGCAACCTGCTGCAACGCGGGGAATGCTTGCGCAGAAATCAGGTGATTGTTAGGGGCTGCTGACATCTAGAGAATTACAGGGTCTGACATACTCTAAATGACTACTTTCAGCTACAATGGTTGGAAATCTTCAAGGGGAGCAAGAAACAAAAGATAACAGTCAGGCCAACTCTCATTTAAAAAGTGTGGATCCAGGAATAGGAAAATAATTAAATTTGAATGGAATTTCTCTACACTTTCTAATAGCAGGGTGAGGGTTACACTTTGTACTTGTTTGGCTTCAGATTCATTTTCCTCAGGTTGAATAACATATCAAGCCTCTGTGTGTTTCTTTTTTGCCTTTTTTCTTCTAGTCCTGGTTGATAAGACTGGACTAGAAGGAGACAGAATGGATGATAAGATGGTGAAGAATGATTAGATGTCGATCACACAGTAGTTGTATATAAATTCAGGCTGCAAAAATGAGTTAAAAAGGGTGTAAGGTAACCCTGGAGGCCTGAGATCAAGGTCCTAGCAGGGAGGAATCTAAAGGGAATAGGGCTTCGTTTTGAAGAGAATATTGTCATTAATAAATAGTTTGTAAAAAAAAATGTCAAAACCCTGTTTATAAAACAGTTTTTAGGTTTTACAAACACTTCAGGCCCACCAGCCTGATTGGCCTAGTGCCATATAGTTTTAATATATTTTCAAGATGAAATACTCAACTATTTTATTTATTTTGTTGGTCACATGTCACACCGTGGCTGATCTGACAATTTTTTTATTATTAGTTACAGGCAAAAGGCTGCAGACAGGACCAACAAAATAGCTTGGATGGATGGCATCATTGCCATCACTGGCTGGAGTGGGCCTGCGGGGCCTGGAGCTCCATACAACAAATTTTTCATCAGTCACGCAGGCGCTGCACAGCTGATGAAAGGTTTAGTTTTGTCACGGATAAGACCCGGCCCGTCCGCTCCGGCGCTGGTGTCGGGCCATCGCGGGCCCGTAGCACGCAGCACGTGACGATGGGGAACATGCGCCCCAGTAGGAGGAACGCACACGTGGGAAGCACGTGACCGAGAACGACGCGTCGAGCCGTCGCCAAGCCCAACTCGACACAAGGGGACTGGGGAGGAGTGCTAGGAGGTTAGGAGTAGCGCCTGGCCCGCAAGGGATGTACGATCGTCCCCTCTGCGGCCAGGAACGGGAGCGAGGAGGAGGAGGAGAGGCCAGGGTGTCCGATCACCCCTTTGCGGGCCCGCGTATATAAGGCGCGATAGTGTACCCTATACTCTATCACTTAGATCGTCTGAAGAACTACCTTACTCCGTGCGAGGAGACGATTATCGACTCATCGGGCCCGACACGACCCGATTCGAATCTTCGACCACCGACAGCGACAAGGGACCGAGTTCACGGGCCCTTTCGGTTTCAATCTACCCCGCCTGCCGTACTTGCGGGCCCGACTATTTGTCTGTTCTGTTCCGGGCGCGCGTTCTTAGGAGAGGTCCTTGCACGGCCCGACCCGCAGTCTGACAAGTTTGTCATTAATGTTAAAAGGTTCAGTTACTATCAATGACAAACTGATTGTTAGGCTAATATCGTCTATTCTCCGGGCTAACACCCATCTCTCGTGCTCCTCAGACCCTCTCGAAGTCGGATCCCCAATGCCCCGATACGGCCTGAGCCCGACGCTGACACTTCCCAGAATGCCTGCTTGTAAACAAGTAAAATACAGGTGTTTATAAACCCGTTCATAAACATCCCTATATGTATTATACACCAAGGCCTAAAAGGGTAGCAGCTTTGAAGGTGTGCCTGCTAGGTAGCTAAGTATTGAAAATATGGCAGAAAAGTGAGGAGTGATGAGAATAGTGGGACTGGGACTCTTCAAATGGGATTCAGTCCCACTTTGATCTGCCCAGTCCCATTTTGATGGTGTGAGTCCTACTTTCATGGTGCCAAGAATGCGTAGCCGAGCGCTAAACAAACAGTTAGAATAATATATCAACCAAAAAAAAAAATTAATGATGCTCCGCACAGCAGGCCTCTGTGGCGAGTGGCAGCCCGCGGCAGCGTGGGGTCCAGGGTGGAAAACCCCGGCCAGCGCTGCCACCCTATCAAACTTCAGCAGACAGAGCAAATAAACACATAAGGCACACCAGAAAGAACTTCCACGCTCCGCGCAGCGGGCCCCGCAGCAAGCGGATGCCCCCGGCAGGGTGGGTCCAGGGCGACACCCTGGTCGGGGTCCAGGGTGGAAGACCCCGGCCGGCGCCGCAACCCAGTTGATGTGACATGCGTCAATCCATCAAAGGGGGGTGATGTGTCATAATGAGTCCCACTCCGGGACTTCGGGAATGGGACTGGGATGGAGGAAAGTGGGACTCGAGTTCTATTGTACCAGTCCCACTTCCATTACTCTTGTATATACTCCTGCAGATACTAAAAATTACAGTAGTCATACTATTTCATGTTTGGGTGATTTACATAATACAACAATCTCCACTCTACCACTGCATACCTGTATACTCAGATAATAATAGTTTGATATCATCATACTTAAGTCTTCCATGTTTGGCAATGTCTGATGGTAAGCATATTACGTAGTCTGAAATTTCATTGAAATCGCAGTATGCATATATATTCCCCCCCCAAAAAATATAGATTTGTTCAAGAATAGTTCATTAGGTGTCAATAATATCATTTGTGAGAGAACCATCAACCTGTCCATAGATAAGAAACTCAGGTAGGGATGAGTTTATTTAGTTGATTTTTCTTTCTATTAACAATTGGGGCTCAGACACTGAAGCTTTATATATGTATATTGTGATTTTTGATTTTGGGTCAATATAAGGGCAACCCCAAAGGCCTGAGATCAAGGTCCTAGCAGGGGAGGATCCAAAAAGAAGAAACTCTAAGGGTCTGCCTGCTAGGTAGCTGACTATATACTGCTTGTCTGTGGCTGCTGCTGTTAGGCACAGAAGGCTTGGGCAGCATCGCAGGCCAGGTCCCAGGGCGACGCAGGGTTGGACTGGAATCAGAATCAGAATCAGACCAGAATTGGAATCGTCTCCGGCCGGGAGGCCAAAAAGGAGGATTCCCCTGACATTCAACTTGAATAGATAGATAAGCAGGGGAAGGCGGGATCATTGTGCTCCCCGCCACCAACAACCTTACAATGTTCTCTGGGGCAATTAGATCATGTACCTGCATGACTCGCCAAGCGACGAGAGGTGAGTACTGGCTTTAGTATTACTCAGAATACATTTGGTTCCACATAGATAAGCAGGGGGGTTCTCTAATTCTTGATACTACTTTGACAATCACTAGGCATACATCACAGCATGTTTGCTATGGTATACCATGAACAATCAGTCATAGAAATAAACATTAGATCCAATATCTAGATCAGTCATAAGAAATATGTAAGGACAACCCCAGAGGCCTGAGATCAAGGTCCTAACAGGGGAGTATCCAAAGAGAAGAAACTCTAAGGGTCTGCCTGCTAGGGTGCCAACTATATACTGGTCATCTGTAACTGCCGACGTAGAGTGTGGAAGGCCTAAGCGGTGTTACAGGCTCTGTCCCAAGGTGATCGTTGAGAGGGTCTTGACGGATCGGTGATTGTGCAGGTGAAGGAGGCTGTGGACAATGGTTGGGATGGGTCGGAGCGTCTGAGGGGGCACTAGTCGGATGTGCCTCAGATGCACTCAGAAGGTCCAAAGGAAGCTGAAGCAGGGATTCCCCTGACAGTTAGAAAGTCTTTTTCCAACCCTCTGGGGACCCCCCTCCCCCTCCTGCCAGATAAGGCAATATGTTCCCATGATTCGCGTCATGTGACCGCTAATGTAATCAAAAGTGGTGCAAAAAATTCAACATTTGTAAAACTTTTAAAATTATACCCAGAGCCTTCAAACACCATGCTAGACCATATTAGGTTTTTAGTAAATAGTCTTTGTCACAACATGATCACACCTTGTCACACAATGATCACACCTTGGATTTACAAGCTCATGGGCCTACATATTAAGTGATCTATGGATCTGGGGGCTAAGAACTACAGAAATTGGACTATTTAGACAGTGTTTTTAGTGTCCCCATCCCCATATGAGGCTTAAATCTTTTATCAGAAAAAGTCCTTTTTACCCTCCTACTATGTGCCTGGGCCCTGATAAGGATCTTGAACCCCCCTTGCAAATAGACTCAAATAAACATCATATGTGGAGCAGTTGATGCGTGCTCATGCTGGGGTCCAACCTAGGCAAGTTCTTGGCATGTTCTTAGGTCTTTGTCATAAAGGGAAAAATCAAGTTAGAATCAAGAATATATCTCGCACATGACTTCTAGTCACATGCCCTTTTGGCGAGTAATATTTACATAGTTCACAGATAAGTCTATTTGAGCTGCTTGCTGGCCTACCCCTTTACAAGCAGTAATTTGCACATTTTCTGACGTCTTCAGTAGCATGAACTTCCAAGTAAGGAGATCATACAAATTCAGATTTTTGTATATGATGTCATGCCAACAATGCCATTCAAAATAAGTAAAATAGTCTAGTACTGTATTATTTAAATTCCAAGTTGAATAGAGCGGACATGCATTACTGAACTCATTTTCATCATTGATCAAATTACCATAAGTAATAAAAAAATTAATCCTTCAGTCATGTTAGGTATTTGTGTTGTGTGTAACATGTCCTCTCAATTTATAGTTGGAATCTATAGACTTTTGCATTTGGTCAGAAGTCATGGTATGGATTTGAAGACACAATCAGCAGCTTATCTGGACCAAAATTCCTCGTCAAATGTGGAAGCTGGAAACCATTGAAAGCTTTTCCCACTCCTCTGCAAAACTCCCTCCAAATATCTTCTTGATCCTCCACAGTCAACACCACTGACAGTGGAATATCCTTGATCTGCCTCACAGAGGCAGAAAGGTGGAAATGCATCATCAAACTAGCCCAGTCTCGGTGGTGAACGGACGTTGGCGAGAATATTGGCAGCTGGCGCAGCGAGGGACGGAAGTAGTCCGGATTTCCGACGACGAAATTGAAGATGACGGTGAGCGTGTCCAGTGTTTCCGGTAGCGCATGAAGCGTCTCTGCGAGGCCAAGCGGAAGGTAATCGGCGTCGGTTGACAGATCTGTGTAGAGAACAAGCACCCGCAGGCAGGGCAGGGGTGGGAGCACCAGTGGCTTCCGCCGGACTAGGGAAAGTTAGTGTGGACCACCTTTGATAGGATGATCGTACTGCTGCTCGTGAGCTCGAGCTCTACGAGGCTGTGTGCAACACTTGTGATAACGGCGTTGTGCTGTACGTCCACCAAAAGGCCTACCACGCCCACGCGAAGCTCAGTCACATTAGCTAATTTTGCTGCGTGGGACGAGGACCACAGACGGGGACTATCCTGCAAGTCCCCGTCCAAGATAAGGCGCCGCAGGTGGACCATAGACCCGATGGGCACCTGTGGTATCTGCCTTGGCGCCTCGCCGTCAAGGCCTTTATAGACACACCAGATCAGTGCAAGCTCCTGGATGTTGCTTCCCGCCAGGACCCGAAACAGCTCGCGGGCAGGAAGTCCAAAGATATTCACCAGATGCAGCACCTGAAGCGTCGGCATCTGGATGAATCGAGCCACCACGTCCCAGCGCGGGTCGGAATTCGTCCCCTCCATGATAATCCGGCGGGGCTGGCTGTGCTGCAGGAGGGCCTCCAGGACGGGCCCGATATCCGGCTCGTCCAAAGAGTCCTTCAGAAATCGCAAGGTGAGAGAGGAGACCCCGGAAAGAAGATGCTGAGACGTAGGGAAGTCGGCAACGGTGGACCAGCTCTCTGGCGGCGGGCGGCGCAGCGTCAAGTGGCTGAAAAGCTTGCGTTGCGAGACGGCACCGAGCCTGCGATTGACAAGAGACAGTGACTTCAACGGCAGAGTTCTCTCGGCGAAGTGGTCGACTATAACGAGGAGCAGCTCGACTGGCAACGAGGTTAGAAAATCGCTCATGAGGGAAAGAACGAAGTGCTGTCCACGTTTACCGTGACTGACGTGTGAGAAAAATTCTCCGGGTTTCTCCCGCAAACTAATAAACTCACTCGCACAGCTTACTGAACGCTAGTGAACATGGTGGTACCGATTACTATTTTGTTTTTAGGCCTAGCAAACCAACAACAGCAAGAAAAAAAACGAGAGTACTAATCATTGTTTGCTTCACAGTCCCTTTAGCCAATGCAACTACACAACACCGATGATCTCTCCAACAACGCTCTTGAACGTCTTTTTCGGGTCGAACTTGGCCCGCACGGCCGCAAAGCGCTTAAGACTCTGCAGAAAGATGATCAGCCCCTTGAAAATGAAGGCAACAAATACGCACGTCGGGGGAGAGGTTCTTGACCGAGTTCTGGAAGATCGCACGCGTGTTCTTCGTCCAGTGGGGGCGGACGGGGAACTCGTCGACGAGGATCTTGGCGAGGTCAAGATACCACTGTTCGTTGAAGCGGTGGCGGTCGCCAGTGGTGGGTACGAATGAGGGGAAGTCAAACATCATGGCGCCCTATCACCAATGTTAGGCTGCAGCTATTGGGAGTAGACGAATAGCCTACCTTGGACCAATCAGCGGTGCGGTTCCCGATGCGCTCAGTTGTCTGGCCGAGGAAGCTGTCGAAGGGGCGGCCAAACTTGATGTTGATGCCGCTAAAGCACATAAGTTAAGCAAAAGAGAACCGGAATTATCACACCCACCTGCGGTAAGTCGAGGTAACGGCCTTGCCGTCGGCGGCACTCTGGTCGAGGAGTTGGCGAACGCGGCGAAGGAGAGCAGGGCCCTGGTCGACGGGGACAGCAAGCTCAAGGGTCTTTCCGTGCAGGTCGTACTCCCACTCGGGGCGTTGATTGGGGTAAAGTCCACCGATGAGCACATCGTATGCACGACCGATGACGGGCCAGATAAGGAGAGGCAAGTCCAAAACAGTTTCTAGACGCGACGAAAATGAGATAATATGCAAAGACTAGCGTCGCATCCATACCATGGAAATTGGGCAATGACCAAAGTCCGTAGAAGATGCCAGCGGAGAAGAAGTTGGCACTGCTGGAGTTCTGTCCGCCGTTGAGGAGGGAAAGAGCGAGATCGCCTTCGAGGGAAGTGACAGAGAATGTCGACTGTAAGCAGCTTCAGTACACGCAAAGGAGTAAAAAGTTAAAACATACTTGGAAAGCATTTCCAAAAGTCGAGACGGGGACAACACCGTACGTGCGCAAATGGAACTTCTTGACGCTGGGCCACCACTGGGAATACCACCAAGGTCAACATATTATACGAACTTGAGAGACAAATACGCACCCAGAGGTTGGCAGTGACATAGGGCGACACCAGCTTGTGAAGATCGCCGTTCAAGATCTGGTCTTCGTCGAAAGTGGTCTGGTTCGCCCAGACCTTGTAGTCGGCCAAAATGGAAATCTTGACGCGAGCAATGATGCCGAGTAGACCGAGCGAGGTCGTAGCCGCGAGCCAGTCGTCCGAGTTGGACTTTTCGACGTGGACAATGTCACCGTTGCCGTTGATGATGTCCATCGAGAGAGCAGCAGCGGAGACTTGTGACTCTTCACGCAGGGAGGAGCGATGGGCGCCCATGGCGATGGCACCGCCGAGGGTGATGTTCCAGTTGACTGGTCAAAATAAGTAAGCATGTCGGGGAAAGAAAACAGTAAACACACCAAGGGTATAACCAAGCGCAGCCTTGCGGTCTTGCAACCATTGGGCGCTGCTATGCGTAAGCAAGATGAACGGTAAGGGGATGCGCGACGCACACTTGGGGGAAAGTGGTACCGGCCTCAACGACAACCGAGCCAGTTGCACCGTTGAGCTGGAGGTCGGAGATGCGGTTGACGTATTCCGTCCTCACAATGATAGTCTTCGGGTCATCAGAGCACATGGTGTCGTCTACAACATGGTCAGTGACGAGCTCGTAGTCAAGGAAAGGGCCATACACCACATGTGTCCGTTCTACATTCATTAGCATGAGCAGAGTCAGAGAGGGTCAGACGGTGAACGCACCCCGCTAGCCCGAACGGGGATTCCGTTTGCACTCGCGTTTTTGACGATGGCGGCCATCTCGTCGACGGTGGTGGGGTAGTAAATCTTCGCGACATTGTTGCAGGCTGGGAAGCCGGGACCGTCAAAAGTATTATAGACCTCGCCTGTGGCGAGCTCAGTTAGCCTGCGCGCGCCAGAGTACCAGAGACCAAACCCTGGACGAGGCTGGCGACGCCGAGAATGACCGCGAGAGAGTGAACGGACAGCATAGCGAGCGACACCAAACGGGGCTCACCGCTGGGAGGAGGGGGATGAAGGCCCGACGGGGAGTTGCCAGGAGGTATATAACCAGTCTGACGCGAAGAGTGAGAATGCCGGGAGACGCATGTGCCAGGGCGAGCAGATGACGACGACGCCAAGAAAGAGACGCGAGTGATGCGAGATGCCAGTGTCACGCTTACGGGAACACCAACGGTCAACGGACACTACCAAATTCTGTGAGGGCCGTCTTGGGCCCGCCAGCCAGCCAATAGCAGCTAGAACCTAAGCTGGATATGGTCGACATTGCAGCAGCATATAGCTCGTCCCAGCTCCATTATTTTTGCCTTCGCAGATCCAGACGAAGCGAAACGCTCATCTTGTGCTGATCCCCCATGATTTTCACGCACCTGACGAGGCCACGCGCATTTCCCCACATTGAGAAGGGACTGATGCTGGCTCGGAGCCATGTGCACCGTTCCGCTCAATTGTGATGCGTGTCGTCGGCGTCCGCTGGATATTTTTTACTTGTCGCCTACTAGTACTAGTAGTACTTAGTCATGATCACTCAATTGCAAGTTCAATGGACTCTGACTCGCGGCCTTCGAGTTAACTGGTTTAACATGCCACAAGTACTAGTATTAAATTTCAGTTCCCACAATACTGGTATTCCACAATCAATCCCTAGCATAGCTGGGAAAGTCCCGACTCTCCCAGCACAGAAGTCCGGCCTCCACCCAGCGTTCAATAGCATAGTCCAGCTCCGCCTCAAACATCGACGCAAAGCTCGGGACCCACAGGAGCGTAAATGTGAACACTTGCCCAGGGCGCAGCCTTTGCATAATAAATCTGGACAACACCGGCTCGGCAAATGCCGCTTTGGAGGTGACCATCAGGCGGGCAAGACGCGGGACGAGCTGGCCCTGAGGCTGGGAGAGCGCGTGAAGGAGCTCGTCCGTGAAGAGGGCCGGAATATCGTCTCCGTCGTCCGGATCGTCACCCACGAAATCCGCGAAGGAAAGATCTTGCAGGATGGGGAGGCAGTGGAGGACAGCCAAAAGCTGCTGGGGAGACAAGCGGACATCTTGCAGCATTAAAGTGGTCAAGTTCTTTCCCGAGGAGCTCCCGAAAAACCCCAGGGCCGCGTCCTGCGGCCAAACAAGAGGAACAGGGGTTTGCGGTGCCGCAATCAGCTCAAATGAATCGAGATTGGGGAGGCGGAGGGATTGCAGGAGGAAGCCAACAGCGCTTCCGTCGGAGCACGCGATATAGTCCGGTGATTGATCATGAACGGCAGTGATTCGCAAGTTTTGCAAAGCACTGTCGACACGTTGCTGGAAATGCTGGCCTTCGAGATGGACTGCATTGCTTATATCATCTTCAAACCAGTCGACATGCAGCTCGACGTTGAGCTGGGAGCCTGGCCCCATTCGGGTGGCAATTTGCAGGAAGGCGGGGATATCGGCATACTGGGGACTGCATTGAAGATGCTCGAGTTGCTCGACGGGAATGTGGAGCAGTCCAACGCGGAGCGGGCCAGGAAAATTGACTTGAGTGAGACGAGGGGCAACCGAGAACCATGAAAGAGGTCTCTCGAGCGAAGATGCGAGGTCCTCTACATCGCCAAGGCATCGCACAATTGTGAGGTTTTCGAGGCGATGGAGATTTCCGTGAACAGCAAAGAGACCGTGGAGCATGACTGGGTGGATATAGAAGGTGGCATCGCGCCAACGGCCAGCGGATTGGGCGACTAGCTCGAGGAGCTGGATGGGATACAGATCGCGGGCCTGCACGAAGTTGATGGTGATTGGTGTGTCCTTCCCCAGTTCCAATACGCGCCTGACCAGGTTGATAATGACATTATAATCCGCCCTATACGCTTGATTCTTGTTTCCGTGGTATGGGTCGTCCGCCGAGATGTGTGTAAAACATCGCAAGTCGATGGTAATCGTCGACCACAAGCTTGGAGTGTCGCGAATGACGGTGGCGAATCCGCGACATACTTGCGAGAGAGTGGACAGGTCAGCACCTGCGATGGTGCGACAAGTCTCCGCAAAGGTCGGCGGAGTGGGGAGCATGACGGGTGAGCATTCTGCAGAACAGAACCGTAGAATGTCGACGATGGTCTCAACAGGAAGAGTGGCAAAAGGAGTAGACATGGCAGTGGGCTTTGGAGAAGTTGAAGGGGAAGCCGCCTTCATATACCGTGGCGGCGGGACCTTCGCCAATCCAAGTCCTTGTCTTCAAAGCACAACACCCACAGCGCTTTGTGGGCGTGCGCATTACGAGAAGCTTTGTCCACAAGGGCAGTCGAGTACCAGCACCGCAAGATCTAGAAGCACGGGGGTCTTTTGGGTTCTCCATTATAGGCGACGAATAACAGCCAGTGGCCCAGTGCGCAATAAGGTACGATAAGTAAAGTTAAGCAAGATGACGGTGTAGAGTGGCGCACCAGCGTCCTTCAAGCTGCACCCGAATCTAAGATGTATTGCCACTTCAAGTCGCAAGCCGATTTCTAAGAGTGGTCAACGAAGGAGAAGAGTAAGCGGGTCACGATAAGGTTACGTCACCGCCTACGGCTATAGCGCTCGCTGCCACAGGACATCAAAAATTCGAAGTGTATTGTACTTTACCATTCCATTTAGTACTACATCTGTATCATATGTGTTTCCTTCAGGCCAACAACACTCTCTAAATGACCTCAGGGATGCGCGCCTTGCGGTCCGAATCCCCGACGCTCACGTCATCCCGGTCGCCGATATGGACCGTAACGTCCTTCGCGTCTGTACCGGCGCTGCGGATCTCGCCGTCCTTGTCGACCTGCACGATGCGATGCACGTCTGCTGTCGCGTCAGCCACATGAAACAAAAATGATACCGCAACACCCACGGATGCCGCTGCCGAGCGTGTCCAGCCTTGTTCCGCGTTCGCGGTCACGCGCCCCGGAGGTGGCCATGCGTGAGCCGGAGAAGCTGAGGTGGTCATCGGAGCGCTCAGTAGAGTCCCCTGCGTCGCCCATGCGGCGGGTGAGCAGGTTGAAAAGCAGTGTGCAGCCGTAGAGGCGGCCCAGGAAGAAGCCTGACGCAAACGAAATAGTGGTGTTGGGCCAGACGAGGAACGTAAGCAGCACCACCGTTGCCACTAAGGATGTGGCGGTGCCTGTTTGGATCGCGCCGACGATGAGTCGGTGGATGACACTACACACAAGTCAGATATGGGAAAAAAGCAAAACGGGACACGCACGAGCGGGTGCGCTTGAACGAGCTCTTGAAGGAACGGAGTTGAACCACCAGCGCTACGGCGATGCCTATGTCGGTCACGACAGACGAAATGATCCACACCCTGGGTTACCGTCAGCCGCCGAAAGGTATAGGAATAAAAGGGACTCTACGTACATGGACAAGGGCCTGATAGTCCTCCGCATACTGTGCGTGGGGCTGCCATAAGCAATGGCAATTACTCCCGCAGCAAGCGCGCCGCCGAGCCCCACCAGCGCTGTAAACACCAGGGCGCTGCACACAAGATAGCCGTTCGACCGGCCCGAGTTTGCGGACAGAATTCCGTAGCGCCAGATTAGGTACAGCTGGACAGTGAACCCGCTGAGCCCCGAGGTGATGCACTGCAAGGGTCAGCCGCAGGGAAAATGAAGGCGGCCAGGAACATACATAGATACCACTGGGCCACGGATTCGTCGTGTTGAGCAAGAAGCCCAGGTCACCCCAGTGCGTGACGAGAAACTGCGGACCGGTCAGGGTGCAAAAGACAGGCTGTTGAAACGCACGATATAAGCATATGCCGAGGCGCCCATTGTCCCCACAGTGTCAATAAACAGCTGAAAGATGACCACCCAGCGCACGAGGGTGGTGTTTGCGCCAGGGGAGCGCACTGCCAAGGTATCAGCACGGACACTAGAGGAAAAACGACGGGCGCACGTTGTTTATTCGAAAAGAACCGGTAGGCGAGGACCAGCTCGAGCATGTAAACCATCGCGTTGAACCACGTGCCGAGCAGCACCGGCCTGCGCGTTGTTCAGCCATGAGCGCGGAGAGGGAGACTGGCCGCATACGCACGCGAAGATGTTCTCCAGGGAGGCAGCGACACTCGCCATGACACCAGCAACGCGATCCCACCCTCATGTCCAGTATATAAGGCCTCCCTTTCACAAGTCAGGGATCGTGACGCTCACGACATGCAGAACTTCTGCTGGAATGTATCCCCTGAGTGAAGCGCCAGGCGCCTGCCTGCCAATGCCTGGTCTGGGAGCGAGGGCCTAACGCAGTGGCTGCGCCTACCAGTGCTCAAAGGCGGCAAAACGGCCGAGCCCGTCGACGAGGCCGCCGTCTTGTCGCGCAGTAGCAGTTTTTGCGCAGGTGGACGAAAGGAGCAAGGGCCTCGCCCGGAGATCGACGGTGGCGGCGGCACTTCGCTGTCAGCGCCAGGCCGATCGATGATAGAGTGGCTTCGCGCCCACGTGAAAAGTGGAGAACAGCGCTGACAGGGTGAATATTAATTTTTCTTCGCAACTTGAAGCAGACTTCAGGGCTTAGGAGCACCATGTCAGTGAAAAAGAGAAGAGAAGGCCACGGATGTGAGACACATGCACAAAGTACGCGAACAGGTTTTTTCTTTCCGTTTTTTTTGCTCCTCCCGTTCAGATAGATGTCAATGACAGTTCGGCGTTGAGGTGCTCAGACTGGCATGCGAACCGGCTCCGAATGGAACGGACGTCCATGGACAGCTAGCGTCGTCAACAACAGGGGCACCTGCTGCATTCCGAAATACAAAACAGTGTCGATCACATAGGTTGAGGAAATGTTACTAGTCAATGGTCAAAGAAACTAACTAATTATGTTATCTACTTAATTTATGCAATTGATTTCAAGAATGCTGGAGCAAGTATTGTATATCACACCAGTGTTTCGGGCAAAAAAGAGGACTTTTGTGGGGCAGATACTGTAGCATTTTAATCAATTCAGTGCCCGAAATGCGTGTGACATTGGCGCCGAATTGAAATTTTCGGTGTCCAAGGCCTCCAAGTGTAACCGCCAAAAATGGTCCATTTACCAGGTGAAATCATGATCAGCGTTTGTCGCTGTTGCGTGTGGCCGCTGAAAAAATTTCGGCGTTTTAAGGGCGGTGTGATGTGTAACCGCCAAATTGATTAAAATGCTACAGTACAGGCTGAGGCTGATCTTTACATATATCCAAGGGTACGACGCAAAAAAATCCTAGACATCGGGTTGAAAAAAGTGAATTAAGCACCAGCCAGCCCTACCCTATTGACGTAAGCATGACTAAGCCATGTGACTTCCCAAAAAGGAAATTGTTTGTCATCAGTGTCTGTACAGGACACAGGACTGGGCTCATTGGATTCTATGCCAGGGCCATTTAAGATATACCATATGGGAAGAAAAGAAGAAGATGTAAATGACATGCTTATATGTCATTGTTTAGCACTGTACTTATCATCAAACTCTCCCAATTGGGATATAGGCCCTGAAACATTCCATGTTGTTTGGCAACAAGTCCTAAAAACATATAACTGTGCATTTCTGGCCCTCCTGGATGTCCATGAACCTTCCCCAGACACAAGTCCAAAAAGTGAAATTTCACCCCAGTGACCTACCCTACCCTATATGACATGTGTGATGTCATGTCACCAGCTGATGATCTGCGGTACCCTTGCATGTATCATGGGTCCAGATTTCCATACAAATGATGCAGAAGTTACATACCTTATCTGGTAACAAGCTTAATCGTCCTTGCCTGTGGCATGGAACATACTGACCCATTGTGATCAATTCAGCGGACATATGACCCATGACCATTTGACTGAATTTCGCGTGTCCTCTTACCCGATTAGGAAATTTGGCACCCCACAGGCATGGAAAATTTGAAAGTCTTCCTGATTGGGACACTTTAGGACCAAATTTGGCTGTGACCTGTGACCTGCTGAAATATTTCAGCCAACAAATCCGATGTGACCATGACTGGCCTAATTGAATGAAATGGGTCAGTAATAGAAGATTGTTGCAGCACCCATAAAGCTGCTGACTGTAAGGGCAACCCCAGAGGCCTGAAATCAGGATCCTAGCAGGGGAGGATCCAAAGAGAAGTGTCAGGGGAACCCACCTTTCGGCCCCTCGGAGACGTGTCTGACTCCGGTCCGATTCCGGTTCTGACTCCGGTCCGGCCCTCCATCTCACCCGCACAATCACCGATCCATCAACGCCCTCCCGACGGTCGCCCTGGGACCTCGCCTGCAACCCCGCTCAAGCCTTCTGTGCCCGACAGCGGCAGCTACGGACAAGCAGTATATAGTCAGCTCCCTAGCAGGCGGACCCTTAGAGTTCTTCTCTTTAGATCCTCCCCTGCTAGGTCAGCTTCATTTGTATTTGCTTACCAATGTTCACACGCTTTGGATCCTCCCCTGACAGGACCTTGATCTCAGGCCTCCGGGGTTGCCCTTACAAGAAGAAACTCTAAGGGTCCGCCTGCTAGGTAGCTGAACTATATAGTGCACTCTTGATGCGCCAAGTGTGATTGTTGCTCAGAGCAGTATGCCTGTGCCATGTCGCAAGCCAGGTCCCAGGGGGATCTCCAGGGCAGGGCGGTGATGTGTCCAATGGAGGCGATGATGCGATCACTGGAGTCGGAATCGTACCGGAATCAGGGTTGGAATCAGTGGGCCAAAGGGAAGGTTCCCCTGACACTCACCTGCAGCTTGCAGCTGGCCAGTGGTATCTAAGGGTGGTCACATGAAATTAACAGGCATCCATATGACCAACTCATGACTTTCTGTATTTGGTGACATTACTGTTGCCTTAAAAGCGGTCCTTCAACCAAACCCCCCCCTATTTGCATTTAACGGAGATCGCAAACATGGCCATACCTTCCTATATGCAGTCAAGACTTACAGTTGCAGACAAACAAAGTTGACAACTTTAATTAACAAGTCGATACTGTAACAATTTATGGAATTCGGCGCCTGAAAGTCCAGTGACATTGGCACTGAAATTAAAATTTTGGCACTGCCTGATATTCTGTGTGTGTCAGACTTCGGGTCAGGCCGTGCAAGGACTCCTCCTAAGAACGCGCGCCCAGAACAGAACAGACAGATGGTCGGGCCCGCAAGTACGGCGGGCGGGGTAGATCGAAACCAAAAGGGCCCATGAACTCGGTCCCTTGTCGCTGTCGGTGGTCAAAGGTTCGAATCGGGTCGTGTCGGGCCCGATGAGTCGATAATGCCTCCTTGCACCGTTGCACGGAGTAAGGTAGTTCTTTAGACGATCTAAGCGATAGAGTACAGGGTACACTATCGCGTCTTATATACGCGGGCCCGCAATGGGGGTGATCGGACACCCTGGCCTCTCCTCCTCCTCCTAGCTCCCGTTCCTGGCCGCAGAGGGGACGATCTTACATCCCTTGTGGGCCAGGCGCTACTCCTAACCTCCTAGCACTCCTCTCCAGTCCCCTTGTGTCGAGTTGGGCTCGGCGACAGCTCGACACATCGTTCTCGGTCACGTGCTTCCCACGTGTGTGTTCCTCCTACTGGGGCGCATGTTCCCCGTCGTCACGTGCTGCGTGCTACGGGCCCGCAATGGCCCGACACCAGCGCCGGAGCAGACGGGCCAGGTCTTATCCATGACAGTGTGACGGCCAAAATATTTTGGCATGTCTGGGCTGCTAGAAAAATTTTGATAGTCTTCTGTTGCTTTGATATTCAGCATCTGGTTGTGAGCCTGTGACATGCCAAAAATATTTCGGCGCAGGAGGGCTGGTGTGACACGTGACTGCCGAATTGAATAAATTGCTACAGTATGGATATGGAAAGTTCTATCCGTTCGTACAGATACTAGTAAAATCCGTGTATCTGCACGGGTTGCACCGATCTGTGCCATTTTCTAATCGAAATGGATCATTATTGTCAAAGTGCTCTCAGTCTGCATGTTGCAAAAACTTCAAAAGATATGGATTCTGATTCACGGTGTTTGTCAGGGGAACCTCCCTTTCGGCCCCTCGGAGACGATTCCGATTCCGGTCCGACTCCGGTTCCGACTCCGGCGATCGCATCACCGCCTCCGTCAGGCGCATCGCCGCCCCCGCCTGGCGATCCCCCTGGGACCTGGCCTGCGACATGGCGCAGGCATACTGCACGGAGCAACGATCAACCTTGGCGCGTCAAGAGCGCAGTATATAGTTCCGCTACCTAGCAGGCGGACCCTTAGAGTTTCTTCTCTTTGGATCCTCCCCTGCTAGGTCAGCCTCACTTGTATTTGCTTACTTCTATTCACTCTTTGGATCCTCCCCTGCTAGGACCTTGATCTCAGGCCTCCGGGGTTGCCCTTACAGCAGAAGAAACTCTCTACGGGATCAACCGGACAAGATTGCTAGGTTCGGCGCTGACTCAGGCTCGGAATACGAGTCCGTTCCGCCCTCGTCACCGCCCCTACCACTTGTCCCCTCCTCCTCTGTCACTCCTGTCGTCCCCGCACCTGTCATGCCTTCCGGAGCTACTCCTGACGCTGACACTCGGCTGGATGCACTCGAGGCGAAAATCGACCGCCTAACTGAGGCCCTTACTCTTCTCACCACCCAGGCTTCCGCTGCCGCTGCCGCCGCTAATACTGCTGGCGGACCCCAAACAACACCACCCCCGGAGACGTCGATTCCGACTCCGACTCCGGTTTAGGGCGATTTCGAGGCCCTCTTTGGCGACATCAACCTCGCCTCAAAATTGGTCTTACGACCAAACCCTCCGTTCACCTTCAACGGTGATCGGAAACGCGGCCGCGCGTTCCTCTATGCGGTCCGCACCTACGCCCGCCTTGCCCCTGAGGCCTTTGTGGTCAACGGAGAGGCGAGTGAGGAAAAGGCCGTCCGCTATGCCATGTCGTTTATGGCAGAAGGACCCGCTCAGCAATGGGCGGAGCGCCACGGAAGCAAAGCCCCGTTTCCGTTTCCGTCCTGGGGCTCGTTCGTTTCCGAGTTTCGACTCCGGTTCGTCGAGGAGAACGAGCAAGATCATGCTCTCTCCAAACTGGAGACTTCCGCCTATCACATGGGCACAAAGGATGTCTACCAGTACACCGACGACTTCGAGGACCT